TTCTATTCTTCATTCTATTCTATGGTATTTCTTCATTCATTCATTCTATTCTATTCTTCATTCTATTCTATTGTATTTCTTCATTCCTCTATTCTATTCTATTTCCTCATTGCTCTTTTCTATTCTATTCTCCTTTCTATTCTATTCTATTCTATTCTATTCTATTCTATTCTATTCTATTCTACTCTTCATTCTATTCTATTTCTTCATTCCTCTATTCTATTCTATTCTTCTTCCGATTCTATTCTAATTTATTCTACTCTATTCTTCATTCTATTCTATGGTATTTCTTCATTCATTCATTCTATTCTATTCTTCATTCTATTCTATTGTATTTCGTCATTCCACTATTCTATTCCATTTCTATTCTACCCTACACTACTCTATTCTTATCTTATCCTATTTTCAGGATCAATCAGCAGTCCTCCATCCTTGCTTCCATATCTTCACCCTAAGAACGGAAGCCGGGACTCTCTTTCCCCCCCTTTCCCCACCCCCAAAGAAATGACAGGGTGGGGGAAAACCCCCCAGGAAAAATGGTGCAATTGGCACGAAAGCTGCCACAGCTTTAACAGTGCCAGTTTCGTTCTCCTGCCCACCCCCTCCCCACCCATCCTAACCTGCTTCGGATTTCACCCCATAACACCTTCCCGGTTTGGCAAGATGTCACGAGGCAGGTGGGATCGTCTTGATTAAGAAAGGGGGGGGGAAAAAAGGCACCACCGTCGAGATATCGTAATTACAGCGGTCATTAGCAACCCACACAGCAGAGGGTCTTGTAAATGAAGTGCAGATTTGAGTCTCTTTTCAACTCACCAGGAATATGAACAGTCAGTCCGATTAGTTAATGGGACCAGTTTCTTAGAGAAGCAGGAAATGGGGGAGGTTGGGAGACACCACTTAAAGAGGGGGGGGGGAATCGCTAATGAAGCCAGCAACGTTCGCTAAGAAAAGACAACACTAACTCTCATTACCCATGTAGGTAACATCATCCGTGCTAGAAGGGGGTGGGAGAAGAAATTGGACAGCCATTTCTCTGAAATGTTTCCTGCGTGAGCAAGGGGTTGGATAAGAAGACCTCTAACTCTCGTTATTCTGTTGTATGTCTTCCAAATGATCTTCCGCCAAAGACATATGAATAATATCTTTATCACCCTTGCAAAATTGGGGAGCAGGAGTGGGGAGGGGAAGAGGAAGTAGCCATGTCTAGACTAATGAAGAGAAGGACTAGGGGTGACATGATAGCAGTCTTCCGATATTTGAGGGGCTGCCACAAAGAAGAGGGAGTCAAGCTATTCTCCAAAGCATCTGAGGGTAGGACAAGAAGCAANGTCTCCTGGTGATTGGCCCAAAGTCACCCAGTTGACTTTCATGCCAAAGGTGGGACTAGAACTCACCGTCTCCTAGTGATTGGCCCAAGGCATCCAGTCAACTAGAACTCACTGTCACGACTTTCATGCCTAAGGCAGGACTAGAACTTGCTGTCTCCTGGTTTCTGGCCCGATTGCCTTAACCACTACATCAAACTGACCATTTGGGGGGGGGGGGAGTGATTTCCCCCCACCCTCCTAGCACAGATGTAATCCAGTGGTTGAGCAGGTTTAAAAAAAAAACCTATTTCTCTCTTGGCTTCTGAATTACCTGGACATCCTGGCTGACCTCATTTCTCTTTTCAATCCTTCTCTGTCTTCTTCTTCCGCCTTTAAAACTCAATCCTTCTCTTCTACACTGCCAGGGAAATTGTCTCAATCTTTGGCAAATTGCTCTCTCTCTTCTCCCCCCACCCCCCCCGTGCACAATAAATGGGACTGGGAAGGGGGGATGGAGGGGGAGAGATATTATTTTGTTCTTCAGCGCCGAACGATGCCACGGATCGAGGGAGTCTCGCTGCAGTCGTGAAAAGTCTTCGCGGGGTTTTCTTATCCCTACCTTCCCTTCCCAGCAACCGACTGGTTTCCTGCTACATATGCGCACAAACCCCCATGAAGGCAGTCCTCTTACTTACGACCCTAAGGGAGACTGCTGGGATGGTTGCAAAGGGGCTCATCGGGCGGCTAACCTGATTTTTCAACCTTTTTGGGGGGGGGGGGAGGTCCTTAAGTGAACCCTGCATAGCAATAGCGCTTAGAATTATAAGCTGCTTCCCAGTGCTTTGTGGCCATAAGATGAGGACTACCTGTACTCGTTATCGTCTGATTTTCTCCTGGTGTGGAATCGTTGTAGGTCAAGGAATTAAAAGGGGTGGGCTAGGAGGAGGAGAAGGAAAATCCCCGTTTAAATCCTTTCCAATTATAGTAACATTACGAGTGTCTTTGGACCAGAAGGAGGAAGAGAGGGAGAAGGAAGAAGATGAAAGAGGAAGGGAGGAAGAAAGAAAGAAGGCAGGGAGGGAGGGAGAAGGAATATGAAGAATGGGGTAAAAAAGAAAAAGGGAAGGAAGAAAGGAAGGAGGGGGGGAANAGGAGGAGGAGGAGGAGGAAAAAAGGCACCAGACTGTTTGTGTTCCTTGGTGTTCTCTGAACTTGGTGGTTTTCTTGCAGACATTTTATTACCCAACTAGGTAACATCATCAGTGCTAGAAGGGAACAGGGTTTGCAGGGAGGAGGAGGGGTGAGGAAGAGGAAGAGGAAGAGGAGGAGGAGGAGGAAGAAGAGGAGGAGGAGGAAGAAAAAAAGGCACCAGACTGTTTGAGGTCCTTGGTGCTCTCTGAACTTGGTGGTTTTCTTGCAGACATTTTATTACCGAACTAGGTAACATCATCAGTGCTAGAAGGGAGTGGGGTTCCTGGGGGGAGGAGGAGGAAGAGGAGGGGAAGAGGAAGAGGAGGAGTAAGACTGTGGGGTCCTTGGTGCTCTCCAAGCTTGGTGGTTTTCTTGCAGACATTTTATTATCCAACTAGGTAACATCATCAGTGCTAGAAGGGAGTGGGGTTTGCAGGAAGGAGGAGGGGGGGGGAGGAGGAAGAGGAGGAAGAAAAAAAGCCACCAGACTGTTTGAGGTCCTTGGTGCTCTCTGAGCTTGGTGGTTTTCTTGCAGACATTTCATTACCCAACTAGGTAACATCATCAGTGCTAGAAAGGAATGGGGTTTATGGAATGGAGGAGGAGGAGGAGGAGGAGGAGAAGGGGAGGAAGAGGAGACAGACTGTGCTGTGGGCTCATTAACTTTAGGCTCATTTTTTTAAATTGCCTTTTAAGATCTTCTTTTTTTATTTGTACACCACCCAGAATCCCACTCTGTCTGTCTGTGTGTGTGTGTGTGTGTGTGTGTGTGTGTGTGTAACTGGACACTTCTTAAACAGCATCAATACATCGTCATTTTAAAATATCTCAGCTGGGGGAACGCATAAGAAGGGCGACGCCAAGCCCAAGCCCCCCCATCCACCCCAAACCAAGAATTCCAACAGGCTTCTCCATTCACCCACCTACCGCCTTCGGCAGCCCGGAGAGAACAATGGGGTAAGTAAGGATTTCCAGAGCGGGGAGGGCCAAGCTCGTCCCCCTCCCTTCCCCGCTGTGTTGATAATTAGAATCCATAACACGGCCATAGACATCTCCGAAGCTGCGAAGATGAACGCTTTCATGCTCCCCCCCCTTCCTCCTCCTCCTCCGAGCCCGAGTTGAGTCTCTCACACCTCTTTTCCAATTACGATATTCACCTTTTAAGGAATCGGAGGTGGCACCAATTACCCTCTCAGGAGCTCGGAGCTCGTGGGTGCCCTGTCTACGAAGCATAATTTATGTTTTGATCAACAAGGAGAGTTCTCACATTTCTAATTTGTTATGGGGGCAAGGGATGGGGTTCTCTNAGGAGGAAGAAGAGGAAGAGAAGGAGGAGGAGGATGAAGAGAAGGAGAAGGAGGAAGAGAAGGAGGAAGAGTAGGAGGAGGAAGAGGAGGAAGAGGAGGAAGAGAAAGAGGAGGAGGAAGAGGAGGAGGAGGAAGGGGAGAAGGAGGAAGAGAAGGAGGAAGAGGAGGAGGAGGAGGAAGAGGAAGAGAAGGAGAAGGAGGAAGAGGAGGAGGGGGAAGAGGAGGAGGAAGAGAAGGAGGAAGGGAAGGAGGAAGAGAAGGAGACGGAGGAAGAGAAGGAGGAAGAGGAAGAGAAGGAGGAGGAAGAGAAGGAGGAGGAAGAGAAGGAGAAGGAGAAAGAAGAGAAGGAGGAGGAGGAAGAAGAGGGGGAGGAAGAGGAGGAGGACTGAGACTGTGCGGACTTTGATGGTCTCTGAACTTGGTGAAATTTTTGCAGACATTTCAGTACTCAACTACGAAACCATCAGTGCTAGAAAGAAATGGGGTTTGCAGAGAAGAGGAGGAAGAGCAGGAGGATTGGGTTTTCTGCAGACATTTCATTACCCGACTAGGTAACATCATCCGTGCAAGAGAAGGTGGCCTTTGCTTCTGGCAAACATCTGCCAGCAAACAGCCAAACTCAAAGAGCACCAAGGACTCCACAAACTAATAGAAGAAAATATTTATAGCTCAGGGTTGAACTGTGGGGGTTCGCGGTACCCTCTGGGCTTGGTTTCCTCGGATGTTTCATTACCCAACTAGGTAACATCCTCCGTGCTAGTCGGGATAATGTTAAGATGGTTGGGTAACGAAATAACCAAGCTCAGGGACCACCAAAGACCTCACCGCATCCATTCCTTTGGCTACGAAGGGCAGCCATCTCCCTTACCTGAAAAGCTCTCTGATCTCTTTCACCGAGGCCTGGAAGGGGATATTCCGCACCAAAATCTTGGAATTCACTTGCTTCTTGCTGGCTTGCTTCTTACGAGCGGTTGTCACGGTAGACCTGGGGATCCGAAAGAGACGGGCATCAGTGCTGTGAGCGAGGATATTTTTGTTCTGACCGAGACTCCCCGAGAGCCGGAAGCAAACTCCTTGTCCCAACAAAAAGCCCCTTTTATGAATTGACTGTGAATTCTGCTCATTCACATCCAGCAAAGTCTTTCGAGGGAGGATTTACAGTCACAGACCTTATTTGGCTTGGAGAGCTGCCAGGCCAATATTTGCAAAACTTGGCAAGGAGTCTCGGAGAGTCATGAACCAATGAAGTGAACTAATTGTCTCCTGCAAACTCCACTCCTCTTTTGCTCCTTTGGGAGGGGGCATTCATCGTCCACCTGTGGCTCTCCTCCCAAGCTGACCCCTATTCTTTA